AATTAACTCTGGAACACACTAGGGTTTAGTTTTAATCAGTAAGGAACTTGGTTTGGAGGACCAACACAGCCGGTCACTGCCGGAGTTGGAAAAGATGACGCACAGGGGAGGAGCCTGCTCTGTTTCAAGAAGAGCAGGGTCACCAAAGAGTAGAGCAGGCTCTACCTTTGGTAGAGCCGGCTCTTTAGGGCCTATAGGCGGCTCCACCATGTGTGGAGCCGACTCTATTAAGTGGTGGAGGCGGCTCCACCTTGTGTGGAGTCGGTTCCTTCAACGGTTTCCAGTTTTTCGACTTTTCTGGGAACCTAGGCTGCTGTGGTTGAATTTTTAAGGTCTAAGGCAGATTCAAGAGCTATTCTAGGGTTATTCAGTAAGGTAAGAACCCTTGTTAAATGGGCAGAAGGTATGGTAATTCATAAGACACCATAGGAAGTTGAAATAGGGTCACAGTCTAACCTTTAGAAAAGTTTTCAGTTTAAACTTTGTTGTGGACGATTCAAGTTGTTTAATTTTTTAAATTAGCAATTGAATTAGGAGTTTGATATGTAAATCATATAACGGTGGTATGAGATTAAGCCTGTTAACTAATATAAATTCAGTTAATGCTTAATAAGAATATAGTTGATGTTTACCAAGAATTGTTTATATCAACTTATAGGATGTTGTGGAGTAATTACAAGTAAGCATGTAAATACTGTTAATGTTATTATTATGCTTATTGTGAGTTATAGGATGGTTATGTTTATTCTCTGCATTTTAAATTTGTTAGAGAATCAAGTATTGGATGTATTGAACAAGCATGCTGGTTAAACATTCTTGTTATGCTTATGATTGGATATGTGGATCATATGTTATGCTGTTATATATATAGTATCAATACTGGATGGATGGTTTGTATGCACTGGTATGGGACGGTGTCATATTAGGGGGATTAGCTCAAAAACGTTAAGTCCTACCTACTCTAGAATTAAGGAAATGGATTAACTAAAAGTTTAATCCTATTTTATTTGTAGTGTCAAGGCAACATATAGTTGAGCGGCACTACTATAGATTTTGGAATGGAATTTAAATATATTTATATGGTGCCACGATATGAGCTTGAGTCTCAGAGTCGTTGGCTGGGGAGCGTATATACATTGGGATGCATAGCTGGCTATGATGGTTGGATGTGTACCCTGCTAGGCCTAGGTAGTCATGCTCACCCCCGGGTGCGTTTTGCATGGTGCCTACTAGTCAGGTTGAGACGGGCTTGTAGTCTAGTGAGAGTCCTGTAGTGTGATTATATATATATATATATATATATATATATAGACTATTTAGTTATTGTTGGATTGGTTAGGATGTACATGCGTATCGGGTCTCTACTTGGGTAGTAGTAGTATAGAACTTGCTAGTGGGCCTGACCCACTTATCATTTTTTAGGTATCGGACGTTTCCAGTCTTAGGGCTTGTTCGAGCTGAGCAGAGACGATCTTCCATTCTATTGACGATGTAGAACTTCTTTCCAGATGTTCGATTTGGATTTTATCTTCAGTTTTACTTTTATTCAGTTTGGGATTTTATATTAGGGGTCCACTAGAGATGGATTCCCGAGTTGTTAAACTTATGGAGGTTTTGGATTGTCAGATTTCAATATTTATATTTTGAGGTTTTAAAATTAGTATTCCTTCAGTGTATTATTTTTATTTCTTATTTCTCTTTGTACTCTGTGTTCGTTATAACATATTAATTATTTGATATTCTCTCGGGTTTGGGCCTGGGCTTGATCAACCCGTGTCTCGGATCCGAGGGGTATCACACAATCCCCATCCCCGGTCAATTTTTTTACCCCCATCCCCGCCCCCATACCCGTTTAATTTTCAACCCCCTCCCCCATCCCACCCCGTTCCGCCACATTAGCTCCCATCCCCGCCCCGCATAACATTTTTTAAATTCCAATTCATCTTCAACAAAATCAACACAGCCATAATATTTTTTAACCTAATAATTAAATAAAGCTTCAACACAATTATAACAATCTAAAACATGATCAGATGTTTGATGTACAACGACTATGTTTTTCCTCTATGCTGCAAGAGAATAGATCTAGGGTTTCACTTTCAGAAGTGAATATATTATGTATATAGTTATGTAATTTAGTAATATTTTATAACATGTAAGGACAATTTTGAAAAAATACACTATAAACGGGGCGGGGCGGGGCGGGGTTAACCCTCCCCTCGCCCCCGCCCTGGCCCCATCTCCCGCCGGGATTTCAAATACAATTTCCATCCCTTCCTTATTTACATAAATGGGTCCCTAAACCCGTCATAAACAGGGCGGGGTTGGGCGGGGACCTGCCGGTATGGGAATTTTGTCATCCCTACTTACAACAACAGGTAGTTAAGATTCTTAGTCACATTAGAAAAGGTTCCCCGCAGATTCTCCACTTTTTGTTATAGGATTTAGAAACAGAGCAGACAGTGGGTAAAAACGTCGTCCACAACCGTGAGTGCCCACCACCGATGCTTGATTCAGACGATCTCTATCCCCCCCTCTCTCTCACCATATATATACTTCAGTCATTTACCATAAAAATTAAGGGTGTTTCAGTAAATTAACCAGGTCCGTTAATTTATTTGACAGTCCATCACACATAAGGAAGGTCTATGTAGGATAGTTTCATTGTTAAGGGATGTCCGAGTAAATTCTCAAACCAGAGGGGAGGTCCATCTAATTATGGCAAACCATAGGGGATGTTTGTGTAAATTACCTATACATATTTATTCCATATTTTATTGAGAAAAACATTCACCTAATTTCCTTAAATTATATATTAAGTATTTTCATTTAATGTGCTATATGAAATCACATCCATACTTCAAAATTAATATTTATTAATCATTTTAAAATATTAAAAGTATAGGAAGAATTCATTTGATTTGTATAATTTATTTTTAATGTACATTTTTTTACCTTCTATCATGTTATATATTGTCTAAATATTATTCATTTATTTTTAAATCATTAATATTCATTAATTTAATAAAAATATATAAATTAGTAATATATATTTTAATAAAGACAATGACTTATATTATATAAATAAATCATTACTCATGTTAAATGGTTTTTAAAAAATTAATAAAAATCACTAAAAAAAACTTCTTTATCCAATTATGTTGAAAAAGTTTATGTATCGGTGCAATCTGCTTGGGCAATATGCACATGCTTAAAAAAAATTCACAACTACGATAATTGATACAGTTACGTAACACCGATAACGGAGTCCAGGATTGCAAACCATGGTCGGACTTTAAATAACATATATGTTGTCTAAATTTAAATAACTAATTTAATATATTTCTTAAATTAAAATAGCTGATTTAGTGCCGTTTGGATTGCTTCTCTACTATTTAAAAGTCTTTTTTTTTTTAAAAAAAAGGGGTAAATTAAACTCAGGCTCCTCGAGGTTAGGTCATTTTTCACTTATATGAAAATTTTAGTTTCAACTTTTACTTACACCCTAGTTTGCTTTTTGGACTCTGACACATGTGAATTGACCTTTTTACCTTTTTTTTTTTTTTTAATGCAATTTAATACAAAAAAATCTATAATTATAAAAGACAAAATTACCCCTCTCTGCATCTAACACAGACCAAATGACATCATACACCCAACACCTTCTCTGCATCTAACACATACCACTATCTCTGAACCAAACACAAACCTAGCCGCCTTCCTTCTTTGCCACATCAGTTACCACCAACCATCACTTAAAGACACACGAAGACGCACAATAAATCAAGCTCTTTAGAGGCTAAGCCAAGGTATTAGAAGGATGACGCTAAGGTATTCACACTTTCAAAATCACTAAAGTCCAACCTACAGTCGCAATCAAATCAGCGATCGAATCAACCACAATTCCTTTTGATTGATCTACCAACCTTCTTTCAGCATCTCTCACCCCGAGTTTACTCTGTTGCATCTATCAATTATCTCTCCTGAGTCATGATCTTCTTTTGGATTTTGACATATAAATTAGTTTTGACAACTCATGCGAATGTTAGAACTGTTTTTGATGAGGCTTTTGTGATCATGGGGCTTAATAGTGATTATGTGCTTATTGCTATTGTGGCAAATTGGAAGTTACCTGAAAATATATTTAATTAATTTATTTACTACATATATATTTTGACTGACGCTTTTGTTTGGGTTCCAGATGCTGTCATTTATTGGTATGCCTATGATGATGCATTTATCTGTACGTATTATCACTATCAGACATACTAATAATGATATGTGATTGTCACTACCTCTGAGGCAAAACCAAACCTTCACTAATTGAGAATTTGAGATCTTTACTGGTCTGTATATTGGTTCCTCAGTTAGAGTTACAATAATTAGGTTTAGGATATTGTCAAAAGCGTACTGAATTGTCAATAGATTAGAATAATTTCTATTTTGGTTTGATTTATTGTTATATTTTACTTTTTAAAAAAAGTAACAAATAAATAAGTGCCACTTGTAACGTCACTTGGGGCATTTTTATCATGAAAAAATTGAAATACATTTTTTTTAAGTCAATAGATGGTTAAAAGTGTAGAATAGTCATTTTGTATCTAAAAAGTATTCTTATGTCACTACAAATTGACATTAAAGGGGTAAGTGAAATACAAAATTATTCTTTCAAACAAGAGTAAAAATTAAAACTAAAATTTTCAGATAAATGAGAAATAATCTAATCTCAGGAGGCCTGAGTGTAATTCTTTTTTAATGGTTATCAAATTTGGCTTATTTAAGTGTTTGACTGAACTTGGGATTTAGAACTTTCAAAACTGGACAACTGTATTTTTTTATTTTTTTTATAAATACAATTACACTTCATTAATAAAGTTGCTGTTATCAAAAGTAGCATATGTTAAAAAATATTATTCTAAAATTAGCAATAAAATGTTTACCAAAATATTGTTACCAAATATATTAAAAATAAATACGTTTATTTATTCCAACAAAAAAACATCTCCCAAACCCTAATATGCAACCTTCCTTAATAGCTTCTCCCCTCTCCCAACCCTCTCTCTGACGGCGAAGATCGATTAAGGCCAATGATATACTGTTAATAGTTATTACCATTGAAGGAGTCGGAGTCGGAGTCGACGGCGTCATTGGTTATCGTCATCGATGATGATCTGGTACTTCCTCCACCTTTCCCTTTGTAATATGTATGTGTGAATATATATTTTTCCCCTAATTGATAGTAAGTGTGTGTGTATATATATATATATACACACACGCGATCTTCTGCATTGATAGATAGCTTCCTATCTAAGAAATCGAACCCAATTTTTTTTTTTTTAATTTGGGGCTTTGGTTCGAAGAAAAAAATTATGCATCAGAGCCAGAGAGATATATTAAGAAATTTACTCCTACTCCTACTCCTACTCGGATCCGAGTGCTATGAGGTCGGTCCTGTTGATCTTTTCTGAAGCAGTACGGTGAAGATTGAAGTAATTGGAATACTATTATTTACGATGAGGATAAAGAGAAGAAGTTGCTTGCCAAATAGTAGATCAAGAAGAAACCGAGTCAGAGCCATGGTGGCGTTGAAGAATAAGAAGAAGAAGAAGAAGGCAGAGAGCAATGCAAATCATAAAGAAGAAGCCATGCCTTTGCCTTTCCTTCCCGAACATCCTGTTGTCCAGATACTCTCGAAACTGCCTGTCAAGTCTCTGTTGCAATTCAAGTGTGTGTCGAAACCATGGCGCTCTTTGATCTCCGACCCAAGCTTCATCAAAACCCACCTCAGTCAGTCAGTCACAAAGTCCGTACTCATCGCCACTTCCCGCCCTCCATACCGTCTCTACACCATAAGCTTCGGATCAGCCGGTAATGACATTGTGGAATCAAAGATTGAATTTTTATTTCAGAACATTAAGCCTCATCCTAGGTGTCGAATTGTTGGTTCCTGCAATGGGTTGATAGCCATGGATGTAAAATTTGGTATTTACCATAAGCAAAATTACGGGGTTGATTTTCGTTCCATATATGTATTTAACCCTTCAACGAGGGAGTCCTTGCAAATCCCTTGGAAATCCCTTCATTACCTAAATGGATTTGGGTATGACCAGTGTTCTGATGATTACAAACTGGTGAGCACAAGCCATGATAGCATGTATGTATATTCACTGAGAATTGGTTCTTGGAGAAAAGTTTACCACCCTAGGGACTTGGATTTTTGTGTTATAACTAATGGGATACAGCTGAATGGAGCCCTTCATTGGCTTAGCATCACAGACAACAAACCAGACATGCCATTAGAGATTGCTGCTTTGAGTTTGGTGGATGAGAAACTGTCAAAGATTCCCTTGCCTACTTCCCTCACCAATTTTGAACGACGGACATGCCAAATTGGGCTGTTCGAAGGATGCCTGTGTTTAATACCACGTCGTCATGATGCATTTTGGGTTATGAAGGAATATGGGGTGAAGCAGTCTTGGACTAAACTTGATGTCAAAGTCCCTTTTGTCCCTTTTGCATATATGTTGGAGTCATTGGGTATGTTGAGGAATGATGAAGGTCTGCTGTTGATAAACAGAAGTAAGTTGGTATTATACAACACAAGAGAGGGAACAAATAGGGATCTTGTCATACATGATTTCAAGGAAGGAGTGAATTTTAATGCAATGATATACAACACAGGAGAGGGAACAAACAGGGATCTTGTCATACCTGATTTCAAGGAAGAAGTTAATTTTAATGCAATGATCTATGTTGATAGTTTGCTTTCACCCTTCATGAAAATGTGATAAGAGGGTAGAAAAAAATAAAGGCAAACAACTCTGTTACTTTGATATATATGACAGACGAAGCATATATATATATATATATATATTTTCCCTCCCATTATGGCATTCTAATGATTCATATGTCATTTTCTCTAATTAACTATTGAACTGCCTTCTTTTGACTCGTTGCTTTTTCTTTCTTCTTTGTAAGTACCCATGTTTGGCACTTGACACCACCAGCAAGTCATCTGCAAAAAGCAGATTCGACTCTTTGCAATGTTTAGGAAGGAATCAGAGATTCCGCTGCCACTTTCCTATCTAATAAAGTAGATTAATATTCTCTAACCCGCTTTAGGTTGAAAATATCCATGAGGAGTGCCATTCACTAGAACAGAAAAAGCCGGGAAGAAACCGATTTTGAATCACTGATTGATCTGTAGAATCATGTCCCTAGAATTCTGCAAAACCGTAATAGCAGACTCTTTGCACTGTATAGGAAGGAATCAGAGATCCAGTAGCCACTTTCTTATCTAATAAAGTAGATAAATATACTCTAACAATGATGAAAAGCGGAGGAGAGATTTGGCAACCCATCTCAACCCTCTTTTAGGTTTAAAATACCCATGAGGAGTGCCATTCACTAGAACAGAAACCAAAAAGACAAACAAGCTCTTATCCATCCCATCAACTTCTGCCCAAACCGAGTCATATGCCTTTGTTAAGTCAATTTTGAGAGCCATAACAGGTTGCCTAGAATTATTGAAATTCCTCACAAGCTCATGAACTACAATAATCTTTGGAACTACTCCAGCAAGTCCATTAGCCAAAGTCTTTGTTATAATCGTTTAAGTAATAATACACAACGATCTTCTTTGGAATATGTTCATGCCTTGATGGATTGTTGAATGGAGAAAGAAATAGGCCTAGGAGCTTTATCTGGACGAAAAGCCATGAGAACCTCCTTAATTTCCTCACTAGACACATCAACTTCTAAACACTAAGCTTCTACATCTGTCAAAGTTTTCCTAGGCAGGATCAAATTTATCTGATGACCATCATCTCTACTATAAAAAAAAGAAGTCGGTGTAATGTTGAAAGAAGCTCTTCGTTAGATTAGTTTGCTCCGCTATTATTCTACAATCAGCTCTGCATTGGAAGGTGGTTGCTTTAAAGCAATCTTGGCAACCTCCAACTCCTTTCTTGCCATTGCTAGATTATCTGAGATGTAGCCAAAATGATCTCTATTCCAACACTTCACATTCCTCAGTCGCATTGGGATATTTAGCTAACCAGAGAGTGTTGATAAAAACTCTATTAAGTCTAACGTAAATTCTTTTCTGAACTCCTTTCGTATCTCACCAATTCCCCGAACCATTGGTGGCTTGCGTTTTTATTAAGCCAGCATCCAAAATGCACTGATCAAATTCATCTAGAAGAACACCCCGAGGAATCAAATCTTATTTCCACCCATCCTGTCCCCATGAAATCGAACCACACTCCAATCTCCCAGAGCAATCCAGGGCTGATCAACCAGATAAGCATCCACCTTCAACTCCTTCCAAAGATCTTTCCTTTCAGTCACAGTTTTTGCTGCAAATACAGGAAAAATTCACCAGAATTAACATTAAACACTCTAATCTGCATACTTTCCAACTCTAACTCTAGTCCAATTAAAATTCAAAGAAAACTCAGCTACAGCTCTTTTAAGTTCCCTCTCCATTCTCGGCCTATTCGAGCCCCCTCACATTCCAGCTTCAAGTCATCAGGATCACCACCGGCTTTGGGAGGAACCCCCCGTTATACTCCTAGTCACTGTAGAGCTTTTCCTCAACGACAACCATCTTTCCACTCCCTTTCATCACCCATTTCTCTGCAACTTTCTTTTTAGAAGCCTCGATGTGTTTTTTGGGGTATTTTCCTTGGCACATGGTAGGTAACCAGGTGGTAATTAATGTACATGGATAGTGAAGAACACCACCTGTTACAATTTTGATGCAATATAGTATGAATTTGGCAATGGGTACATTTAGTGATGAGAGAATGTGCAAGGGAAAGCTAAAGGAAGAAGGCAAGTAATAAAAGAAAATGTGCTATCTCAATGTTCCCCCATTTTTTTTTTTTTTTTTTTTGGACAAGTTTCAATGTTCCCTTAGTCTCGACCCGAATCTTCAATTTTAAAGTGGTGAATTGAAAGAATAATTTTTGGTTTTTCTTTTTCTTTAGAGTACGTATATCGGTCTCATAATATACACATTATTTAAGTTAGAAGTATGATTCGAAAGCGAAACCTCAATAATTTACTTTTCGAATGGCCGTTAACGCAACTATGCCCGGAGCAATTGAATGGATAATTTTGGCATATAATCTCAAATTTGACATACAACTTTTTGATGTGCCAAATGAATTATTTCTATTATTTTAATATATGGGTCTCACATATCATTAAAACTTAATGAATTTATTAAAAGACAAAATATTAATAAATTAATAAGTTTGACATATTAAGTGGAGTTCTTTTATATATGTCAAAATTTTATATGTCAAAATTTTATATGTCAATTTGTCACACCTTACCTCATTTAACATATGAAATTTGAAGATGGCAGTACGAAGAGATGGCATAGTTTTTGGACTGTCTTTTCAAGTATTTAACATTGTAGCGACTAAGCATTTGATCTTAATTAAAGCATGTTACAAGGAGGGGAAAATATATGCTTAATAAAAGTTGGACAATACTTTTCTACTCCTGATGAGAAAGTGATACAAATGTATATTGTTTTTAATTACAAAATTAAGAAAATAGTAAATAAGAGAAATCACTTTTTTTTTAAAAATAAATTTAATCAGCCTATTTTTTTTTTTTTTTAACTTTTTTTATTTTGTAATTAAAAACAATGTGTACATTTGTGATGGAACCACATCATTGTTCATAAAAAGAGTTAAGTGTAAAAAATCCCTATCTGCAATGCAATGGATGTAGTGCAAAAAAACCACATCATTGTTCATAAAAAGGGTTAAGTGTAAAAAATTTCTCTCTGCTATCGATATAGTGCAAAAAGGTCATTGTATAGTATAAAACCCCTCCTATACTATCAATTTAGTGCAAATAGGTCCCTGTGTGGTATTAAATGAAGATAATACCCTCACTTCAGTTGAATAAATTAATAAATAAAAACATAGGCAATGTAAAATGACGATTTTATCCGGTCCCCTCTCTACAACCCATTTTCTCTCTGTAACCCATTTTCTCTCACCAGGTAGATCAAACTAGGCAAAAAGTTACAGGTTTGGACATCAAGAAACAGAGCACTTAAAGAATTGGTTCTACCCACCCACAGTTCAACACTGCCCAATATATAACAATATCCCTTACAACTGTAGTGAAAAAAGCTTCAACAAGAATTGATTCCACCATTACTCTTGAAAAGTCGCAAAAACTGTTCTCATTCGTATCGACACCCAAAGGGGAGAATCTTCAAAGTAAGTAATTTAACTTGCAAAGAATTTGGGTTCCATGATGTCGAAATATATTACGTGTTAAAGTATATTGTCAAAGGTACATTTAAGGGGCACGCTGTCCCATTTTGAGACTAGACAAATTATACAAACTATGCGTGTTCCCAATATTTATTTAAGAGGCCTGTGTAATTGGCTTACATGTGGTGGGCGTGGAAGCGCCGCCATCGCCGACGATTCCGACCCCGCCCCGCGCGTCTGCCGCCTCATCCTCGCCGTCTAAAAGGAAAACGGCCTCCACCACCCTTACTCAAGCGTAAACCCCAACTGGGTCATCAAGCGCGTGAGCTACGAGCAAACCCAAGGCCACGCGCCTCCACGAAAATATAAGCTTTCTTTATAGGGCCATGAAAGAGATTTCATTTCTGGTATCAAAACAGTGAACATGTTGAATGTTGGTAGTAAGTGATTGTTAATTATTTGAATCAACCTCATTAATGTTTCATATTAGTATGTGGATAATCAATATGGCCATTAGAAACAGAACAATCTAGGCAAATTTGCAGGCTTCAATTCATTAATGGGACCATACACATCATGTGAGAGGGGGCAAAATGGGAAGAAAAATGGTAAAATTAGATTTTCATATTTACTTTTTGCCAAATAGTGGTCAGAGGAGTTTATTTGCACCTTTTTAAAATTTTATGGACTAACCTGTACATTTTTAAAAAATAGGGATTAGTTCAAGTTATATATATATATATATATATGTAACATATTATTTATATTATTATATTCAAGTTACCATATCGAATTTAGATTAAAATATGATCCATTAACAAATCTAATTAAATATGAGCTTAGGGCACCTCCAAGACTATGAAATGAACCAGCTGAATCTTCATAGGAAGATTATCATTCAAATCCTTTGCAGTGTCTATTTATTCGAATTGGGAAATTCTGTTGCCTGCCCTGGGGCTCATAGGCTTTTAGTGGTACCTTACAATGTTGTATAGTTATTGTTTGTTTTATATTAATTCCCTGTTGTTCGCATATGTTCAATATTTCATTCATGTATGGTTTTAATAACAATAAAATGTTTACATAGTTTCCACCACCTTCATAAATTAACTAGTGTGGACTTCTTTCACTCTCGATCTCCTTAAGCATAAAGTATCGAAACGTCAATCAAGTACATAGAAAAGTTACACAGTGATCAAAAAGCAATCTAAAGAAAGAAAAAAATAAGCTTTTTAATAAAGTAAGAGTTTTTACACGTGTTATAATGATCACAAATAAAATAACCGTTAAGAGAAGAATTAATAAACCCAATACCTATTGTGGGGCGAGAGGCACGAGCCCAATATCTTCTTTAACAACAATCATACAATTTCCTATTTTTTGTTTATTCAATTTGCTTTTTTTATTATTATTATTATTATTATTTTTGTCATTATTATTAGCCTAGTGATTAACCTTTACTATTACTTTTTAAAATCTTAATAAGTGATACGTAAAGTGGAGAAAAAAAAAAAAATCACTTATTTCATTTGATGATAGAGCGATTTGTTTCGATTTCATTATCATTTTTTCAAAAATTAATTAATTATTTTTTAATATTTCTTGTCAAATAATAATTATTGTTGGTATAAAAATAATTGGACCAATTGAAAGTAAGAAGAAAAATTAAATAAATTTTAATTTTAATTTAAAAATACTTTTAGAAGCTGGACACCAAAAACAAATTTTGAAAAATATATTCAAAACCTTTGTCAAACATTGGAAAATAAAATATATATATATTCTACATAGAAAACATTTTACAAAAAAATATTTTACGCTAAAATAAACGGAGCCTCATAGTTTCTGCATCCAAAATTGATTTTAGTTTTACAAAATCAGAGCTACTCTTAAGGCATGACCTTTTGGCCTTTTGCCTATCTTCCCTTCGTATAGCATTAGAATCAGAATTGAAATTCTACCGTTTCTGAGATGATACATGCATGTCAGTATTTTATTAGACGGTGCTTCAACCTTCACATGACAAGAGTACACACTATCAAAGGTACTAATTTGCTAGACATAAATTTTCATGTAAAATCAAATAGGTTACCATTTTATTTTATTTTATTTTATTTTATTATTATTTTTTTTTATGTGAGTGAGGAATGACAATATTATCACGATGGTTGGTGTCATGATAACATTATCTCTACTCATATAAATACAGTCACATAAATTTTTGGACGCTTAATCATGGCAAATTTTATTTCATTTTTTCTCGCTACTCATTGCTAATATGGCTAATAGAGGAACTTCCATCATCACTTCTTATAAATTTTAATCCCTTTATCCACATTATGGATTAAAGTCTGAACCACTTATCTCTTTATCCACATTATGGATTAAAGTCTGAAATCTCTATGTAATGGATTACCTGTCACTTCCATATGCCAGGCATTCGCCACTATCTTTAGATTCTGGGAAGCAGATGTCATAATAATCCCGTGATCTGATAATATGGGAAGCAGACGTTATAATAATCCCATGATCTGATAATCTCTCAGTATGCGCAGAAGCCTGAGCATTGGGGATATTTAGCTAACCAGAGAATGTTGATAAAAACTCTATCGAGTCTAACATAAATTCTTTTCTGAACGCCTTTCCTATTGCACCAAGTCCGGGAAATATTGATTCCTTAATGGAAACGCAAACAACCTATATTTTCTATTTTCCAAGCAAAAACAAATTAAATTCCTAACCTATCACTGCCTGTAGTGAGGATACTGGGATCTCCATTTTTTTATATAATCATGAAGGGAATATTTTCCTGCCATTTTTTTTTTTTTTTTTTTTTTTAAAATGATTGTGGATTTGTATAGAAATTCCTAACCATCAGATGCTATCATAATTCCCTTCACATTGCGTCTTTGACACCATTATTCAAATTTCTTGTATCGGTCGATATGGCGAATCATAATTTCTCATTATCAAAACTATATCCAAAATTATTTCAAAATTAGAAAATTTTTAGTAATAAATTAATCATTTAAAAAAATAATAGTTATAATTTTTTTTTTTTTTTTTTTCATAAATTGATACTAATAAAAAAAATCAAGTTAAATGATATAATTAAAATTTAGATAAAAGAAAAGATAATAAAAATAAGAGTTAAAATCATAGAACCTTTATTAATTTTAAATTTAAATTATAAAATTCCAACTTGTTTAAAAAAACCATTTCACTTTAAAAATTGATCACATTATCTTAATATCCGTATCTAACCATTAATCAGACTATGAAATGTCAAATTTAACCTTACAATTTAATGTTAAATTAAAAATTAAAAATTATTTTTAAAAATTATAAAAATACCCATTAAATTACAAAAATTATGTTTCAGAGGGAGTGAATAAGAAATTTAAAGGGTATTTTTGTAATTTAAAAATAATAATTTTTAGTTTTTAATTTAGTATATAAATATATACTAAAAAAAACATCTCCCAAACCCTAATATGCAACCTTCCCTAGTACCTTCTCCCCTCTCTCACAATACCTTCTCTCTGACGGCGAAGATCGAGGATGGCCAATGATGTTAAAGTCGGAGTCGGAGTCGACGGCGTTATTGGTTCTCGTCATCGATGATGATCTGGTACTTCCTCCACCTTTCCCTTTGTAATATGTATGTGTGAATTTATTTTTTCCCCCTAATTGACAGTAAGTGTGTACGCGCGATCTTCTGCATTGATAGATAGCTTCCTATCTAAGAATTTCTATTTCAATCGAACCCAAATTTTTTTTTTTAATTTGGGGCTTTGGTTCGGAGAAAAAATTTATGCATTAGAGCCAGAGAGATGATCATATTAAGAAATTTCTACTCCTATTCCTACTCGGATCCGAATAGTATAAGGTCGGTCCTGTATATTTAATCTTTTCTGAAGCAGTACGGTGAAGATTGAAGTAATTGGCATACTATTATTTACGATGAGGATAAAGAGAAGAAGTTGCTTGCCAAATAGTAGATCGAGAAGAAACCGAGCCAGAGCCATGGTGGGGTTGAAGAATAAGAAGAAGAAGAAGGCAGAGATCATTGCAAATCATAAAGAAGAAGAAGCCATGCCTTTGCCTTTCCTTCCCGAGCATCCTGTTGTCCAAATACTCTCGAAACTGCCTGTCAAGTTTCTGTTGCAATTCAAGTGCGTGTCGAAACCATGGCGCTCTTTGATCTCCGATCCATGCTTCATCAAAACCCACCTCAGTCAGTCAGTCACAAAGTCCGTACTCATAGCCACGTCCCACCCTCCATACCGTCTCTACACCATAAGCTTCGGATCAGCCAGTAATGACATTGTGGAAGCAAAGGTTGAATTTTTATTTCAGAACATTAAGCCTCATCCCAGGTGTGAAATTATTGGCTCCTGCAATGGGTTGATAGCCATGGGCGTAGAATCCGATGATATTTACCATAAAGGAAATTATGGGGTTTCCATATATGTATTCAATCTTTCAACGAGGGAGTCCAAGGAAATACCCGATTGCGATTCCCCTGGTGGCCTAATTGGATTTGGGTATGACCAGTGCTCTGATGATTACAAACTGGTGAGCGCACGCAGCGATAGCATCTATGTATATTCACTGAGAATTGGTTCTTGGAGAAAAGTTCACGACTTTCCGGACCACTTTCATGTTGTACCTTATGGGACACAGCTGAATGGAGCCCTTCATTGGCTTCGTTTCAGAATGAACAACAATTTAGACATGACATTAGAGATTGCTGCTTTGAGTTTGGCGGATGAGAAGCTGTGGAAGATTCCTTTGCCTACTTCCTTCACCAAGTTCCAACTAAGGACATGCCACATGGGGGTGTTTGAAGGATGCCTTTGTGTACTATCTGGTTGTGGTGATGCAATTTGGGTTATGAAGGAATATGGGGTGAAGCAATCTTGGACTAAACTTGATATCAAAGTCCCCTTTTCACATAAATTGGAGCCATTGGGTTTGTTGAGGAATGATGAAGCTCTGCTGTTGATAGACTACACTAAATTAGTTTTATACAACAAAAGAGAGGGAACATGCAAGGATCTTGTCATACACGGCATTGAAAAAGAAGAGGAAATTCATGCAACCATCCATGTAGATAGTTTGCTTTCACCCTTCATGAAAATGTGATAGAGGGTAGAAAAAAGTAAAGCCAAACAAAAGTGTTACTTTGATATATATGCCAGATGAACTTTTTTTTTTTCACCCATTATGGCATTATAATGATTCATGTTGCATTGTCTCTAAACTTTTGAACTGCCTTGTTTTGATACATTGATTTTTCTTTCGTCCTTCTTTTAACATAGCAGTACATATAGAAAGGAATCAGAGATCCAGCGGCCACTTTCCTGTAGATAAATATTCTCTAACAAGGGTAAAAAACAAAGGAGAGATTTGGCAACCCTATCTCAACCCTCTTTTAGGTTGAAAATAACCATGAAGAGTACCATTCACTAGAACAGAAAAGGACGGTGTAATGATCAGCTGAACAATTTTGAATCACTGATTGATATGTATAATCATGTCCCTAGAATTCTGCAAAATAGTAATAGCATTAATGTTCCTATGCTGTGTTTCTTTTTTGTGAAAGAACCTGGTGCACCTGTCGGCCTCTCTCACCCATAAATTATAGATTTCTGGGCTTAGAGAAGCTCTTCATTAGATATAGCCTGTTCCACTGTTCTTCTACAATCAGCTTTATTTTTATAATATTCTAAATTAATTTAAAATCACACAATTGTAGTCCAAAAACATTCACACCTTCTATAATTATCATTAAAAAACTTCCACTTTATGGGTGACATATTGTTTATTAAATTAAAATGACACAATTGTCATTCAAAAGCACTCACACCTTCTATAATTATCCTTAAAAACTCCACTTTGACAGGGAAATTATGTCATTTCATTTATTACTTGTCAAAAAACAAAAAAGTGTTATTCATTTGAAATGTAGGAGGAAAAACACTATGAAGTTGGAGTAAAAATATCCCATCCCATTTCTTTCTCATTTTCGGGCAATTAATCTTGCTAGGACACATACATAGCTTAACATTAATCTGCTTGATGTGCAGACAGAAACACTGTATAGTTACCATTACTTCAAATTCTGTAGCACTGCTAAATGGAAATTTGAAATTATTTCGGAATTCATGATTAGACCCAAAAATTCCTACTTATGAGCGTCTCAATGAGTAAGACCTGGGGGTGAATGATTTCTTTTGCGTATTTTTTATTTCAACTAAATTATGAACAAATAAGCAACCAAAATAAATATATAAGGTTTAAAAGTAAAAGAGATGACAGCAGAAATTTTTACTTAAAAAACCTCAACGAAGAACACCACGGAGATTGTCGTCTCAGGTGAACTGATCCCTATAAATCAGAAGTTTCAGTAACTTCAAAACAGTTCTTCACAATCCCTGATGCTCTATGTTCTCCGATTTACGCCAACAAACACCTCATGATGAGTTGCTTCTAGAGTGATCAATCGCCTTTCTCCTTCCCTAAGAAGCACGGACACGGCTAGACACGACACGGACACGGCGACATGGCAAATCCTAAAAAATTAGGACACGGACTCGGCAAATAATAATAAAAAAAAGTGCTTTGCCGGGTAAAAGAGAGAATGATAGAAAGAGGGTTAAGAAAGAGGAGAAACAAAGAAACATAAATATGCAAGAGTTTGAACCTTGGAACTAAATATAAGCATAAATATATGATTGTTTAATATAAAATTGTAAAACAATAACTTTTAAGTAATTAAATAATGACCATATTGTTAAAAACTATTAAACCACTCCTCATAGTTACACTTCAACCTAGCTTTCTTTCTAAAACTTTCTTAAAATCCCCAAGTGCCTTACTTATTAGGGTCGGGGCTGGGCGGGGAACAAATTGCCATCCCTAACTGTTTTGGATTGCATCGAACCAGTAGCCTCATGGACTGGTGCAAGAGTGCACTGCTTAATTTCGTACTTGGTCAATTTTCCAACTTTTGACACTTCAAGGAAGGATGTTGTTTCGATACGAGGAATAAATTGAGAGTTGTCTTGACATGATAAATGGTGCAGGGACTCTATTGAAGAGTGTTCATGGAGAAATGTTTAACATGACTTTAATAAGGATGCAGCACTTAGTCAGCTGGACTGGTTGTGGCAAGCCACATTGCAATTGACATTTGTAAAAGCTTTAGCTAACTGGGAATTATATGTATGGATTGGATTCTTTGACTAAGTTTACCCGGCATCAAATGAATTTGTGTGAAGAGGATGCTAGGAGTTGTGGATGCATTTAGTTTGCTGTTTAGGAGAAAGTCTTCATTCTGAATTTTGAGGGAATTCTGGAAGAAGAGTTCGAATATCTCCTTGGAAGCTTAAATTTTACGGCGACATGGCAAATCCTAAAAAATTAGGACACGGACTCGGCAAATAATAATAAAAAAAAGTGCTTTGCCGGGTAAAAGAGAGAATGATAGAAAGAGGGTTAAGAAAGAGGAGAAACAAAGAAACATAAATATGCAAGAGTTTGAACCTTGGAACTAAATATAAGCATAAATATATGATTGTTTAATATAAAATTGTAAAACAATAACTTTTAAGTAATTAAATAATGACCATATTGTTAAAAACTATTAAACCACTCCTCATAGTTACACTTCAACCTAGCTTTCTTTCTAAAACTTTCTTAAAATCCCCAAGTGCCTTACTTATTAGGGTCGGGGCTGGGCGGGGAACAAATTGCCATCCCTAACTGTTTTGGATTGCATCGAACCAGTAGCCTCATGGACTGGTGCAAGAGTGCACTGCTTAATTTCGTACTTGGTCAATTTTCCAACTTTTGACACTTCAAGGAAGGATGTTGTTTCGATACGAGGAATAAATTGAGAGTTGTCTTGACATGATAAATGGTGCAGGGACTCTATTGAAGAGTGTTCATGGAGAAATGTTTAACATGACTTTAATAAGGATGCAGCACTTAGTCAGCTGGACTGGTTGTGGCAAGCCACATTGCAATTGACATTTGTAAAAGCTTTAGCTAACTGGGAATTATATGTATGGATTGGATTCTTTGACTAAGTTTACCCGGCATCAAATGAATTTGTGTGAAGAGGATGCTAGGAGTTGTGGATGCATTTAGTTTGCTGTTTAGGAGAAAGTCTTCATTCTGAATTTTGAGGGAATTCTGGAAGAAGAGTTCGAATATCTCCTTGGAAGCTTAAATTTTACTGTGAAGTGATCATTAAATGTAACATGGGTTTTTGAGTGGTTGACTATCTAGTTAAAAATCGTTGGTTGCATATACTAGTATATAGAAAGATATTGCACCATACATCATTTTCAAATCCAGGATGTGCTGCACTTGAAGTCTGGTGTCCCATTTTCTCTTTGTTTAGAGTTGCTTCGGTAAAGCTGGAATAGTCTCTTATAAGGGTCAAGGGTGGTTGGTAAAGGTGTCTAGGCCTCATAACTGAAAGTTTGGAGAGCACTGCTCTACGCTAGATCCTCTGATGTATGTGGAAGGATCCTAATAAGATGATATTTCTAGATTCTTTACCACTGCCTTACACCTGAAAAATCTTTTTGTCCAAATTTGCACTTTTGGCTATTCACTGGAGTAAAGTGGAGATTACTGGTACTCTTTTGAACTAATCTCACACCTTTCTTTGCAATAACCAAATCACAGCTTGAAAATTAAGTCCAGGATCCGAAGTCAGCTGTCCTGTTTTTGGAGGGACCTTATTATCCTTTAATAGTTACTTATATAAGCTGAAGTTGCTTAGGGACCTATCTCTGAACTGTCTGATTTAATCGAAAGGGCCTATTTCTATGGTTTCTTGCAATTCTAAATTCTGAAAGGAGAAATGCTCTTTTTTCAAGGGGTCTTTGTTGCTTTAATGTTAGTTGGCATTGTTAAAGTGTCTTCTTTCAGATGGGTCTCAATTCTCACTGAAGTTAGAAGGCAAGATTCTCTTATTTCAAAATTTCAAAATTATTAGCAGCGAGTGTGGATTGCTCTGAAGCTGTCTCCTTACTTTTTACCTGGTACAAGTATTTCCTTCTTTTTTGGAGCATTGTGCTGCACAATATTACTAAATTGGCTTTTCAAGCATACTTTCATGTTCCCTCTTCATCAATGTGGTGGCTAATTATTTTAGACAACTCTTTTTTGGTATGCCACAAATATACTACTAATTTAACCTTTTTTATGAGGTTGATGAACTTCAAGTCTTATCACTTGTTTGTTTTAATTCATCAGTTTGAGTTTCCTATACAAATTCTTTTTTTGTTTCTTTCCATCGCCATTGGAACCTCGTAGATGCACCAAATTTGCTATGTTTGAGTATTATGACTGCTGATTTTTTTTCCCCACTACTTATGCAACCTCTTGTATTTGCCATTTTTAGGTATTGTTGGATTACCAATATCAACGTCCTTTAATGATGGTTCATTTGTATGTTTGGGCAATAGGTTGAAGCAAACATTTTCTTCCTTTGATGATTTATTGACAAATTCTGGCAAACCCGCACTGGTTGACTTCTACGCAACTTGGAAAGTCCCCCCCCACCCCCCTCTTCTTCTCTTTCCCTCCCTCCCTCTCTATCTTCTAGTCTTATTTAATTGTCACCCTCTCTTAGCTAAATAAATCACAAATGGGGCCATTTGATAACAACCCTGTGCAGGCAGAGATCCTAGGTGAGTGTTTCCTGGAGACATTATGGTCTGGTGATTATTACCTGAGCTCTTATTTGCAGGTGTAGTTCATTTCAATTCATGGCTCCTATTCTTAATGAAGTCTGTGCTTCAATGAAAGATATGATCCAGGTGGTGAAATTTGATACTGAGAAGTACCCAAGCATCGCTGATAAGTACAAAATAGAAACATTGACAACATTCATCATATTTAAGGATAGAGAATCCTATGATAACTTTGTTAGTACAATAATCTTATTTTTTGCCTCTGGAAATTCCAGCTTATCTGGACTTTCATTTTATATTGAAAGATGCATACTTTTAATTTAGCTTGCATTTTTTTTCGTTCTAGTAAAATCTATCGTGAAAATGTCTGCGATGGTCTATCAAGGTGTATTCCTTACTCTAGGAGTCTTTTTGAATTTAAGTTGTTGAAATGTCTCTTCTCGTTTTCTGCAAAGTTTACTGAACGGTAGACTGCTTCAGCAACATTATCCGACAGGGAAATTGACTTTCCAAGTTATTTTATTTTTCTCAAATTTATGATTTTTTGGTT